TTCTATTGGCTAGATGGTTATCAATAACCCCCTTTTCAATTACCGAAAAACTATACCTGTATTTGTACTGTACAGTATTGTATTTTTTCATATTTCAATATATGACATTGGTTTGCATGAAATTTAGTGGCGAAACGTGGTAGGGGCGTGTGCCCCGGTATGGACGCTTTCAAATATGCACGGGCGGATCCAGAATTTTTCAAACGTGTGGTGGAGGCACGTATTTGTACTGTATTCTATTTTTTTCTAATTTCAATACATTACATAACATTAATTATCATTGAAATTTAGTAGCAAAACGAGGGAGGGGGCACATGTCCTGATCTGGTCGTATGCTTTTCAATTGTTTGGTGGTGGTCCTTTTTCAAACCCAACACAAAAAATGCCCCGTTTTCAGTAAAAATTGTGAACATAATATAAATCCAAATCAGGATCTCCAAGGCTTCTAATCTTTTAACACTATAACAACGTGGCGAAGTTTTTTGTGATTGGATAACATACTATAGTCTTGTATTTTATAATAATTATACTACTATTTCATCATGTATTTATATAAAATACTGTATTATTGTATGTACGTTTATATAGGAAGCTTACCTTTTAAAATTCTGCTCGTAGATGCAAGTTAAGTAACCTTATGCTGTGTTTAAATTATTTGAAATTTTATAATTTAAGTCAATGTTTTATTTCCAATGTTTGAACGTGTTTTTATGTATGCTTCTCCTTGTTTGGAGGGGTTTTTTTTAAATAAATTTATTTATTTGAATAAATTGAATTGAATTATTAGTCTATGATGTTCGGAGATTTGTTGTGAGTGGTTAAGATAATAAGTCTTAGATGTTATTTTAAAAGACCAACTTAAATTTTGAATACAGATTTAGGACAGACAAGTCAACCTTTTTCTTGGGGACGAAACAATAGTAACTTTAACGAGCTATTGGAATGAATGTACAAACTTTTATGTAGGCCTAGTTGTCTCAGGTTATTGTTGTGGTGTCTGCGGTTTACTTGTCTACGGGCGATAAACCGTTTTATTCTAATAGTTGACGATAGAAGACAACAGAGAAATGTTTGAAGGAAAAAAAATACTTTATTTGATGTGAATGTCTAAGGTAAACATAATAGTCTGTTCGGTGTTTTATGTCATTCGATTGGTAGCCATTGTGTTTCAGTATGAATATAGTTTCTTATTGAAGGGTCTGAAAATCACTGATGGTGTGCCCTTCTACTGACTTCTACTTAGTCTATTACAAACCCCTTTCTTAGTAAAATGGTGATGGAACGATCATTTGGGTAAGTGAATGTCAGTGTGGGTCGGTTTACGGTAAATGAGCTGTGTGAGACAGCGCGCCTTTTCCCGTCACAGAAAATAAAAAACATCAATAAAATGACAGATAGTGACTGGTTTCCGTTCCTCTTCAAATGTTTCAAGAAACATTTCAGGACATCCATGTGTGTGTCAGATGATAACAAATTCTTCTAGCAAGATAATATAAATGACTGAAAATTTGGGGTGATCTTGGGGTTCGGTCTCCTATTAAAGGGTTAGATTTATGTTAAAAGATTTACAATTATTATTTGGTTCTTTAAAAAAGTGGTCCTATATTAGAGGGGTATTGGAATTAGAGGGGCATCGAATTGTCAGGTGCACTGTACTGTAAATGTAAATAAACATTTGTAAAGCAATATTCACAGAGATGCATACATACTGTAGCCTTCGGATTATTGAGGATCCCTACAGGGCGATCAGTGTGGAAGGATCATTTGTGTTACAAGTGCTCACAAATTCTTCCAAAGACAGACACAAGTTCATTGAGAATTCAATAATTTAACAGTAATAGACATAATATTTAATCATATCGAAACATTCACATTACGGTTTACCAATGAAAGACTACACTTTTGACGTCATACAGTAAGGTTACACATAAGCCTACATCATAGTCAGTACCTGTACCATCAACATGAATGATCCCGGTATTCTACACCTACAGTGATAATTATATTGTATTGCCTTTTCTCAAATAATCTAGCATCTAGATTCTTGGCCTCAGTTTTAAAAAGAACTCAAGGATGGCTAATAAATTACGAGCTTCAATTTGTATTAGGCCTTAAGGCATCCAAAGTTTTCCCCAGTTTAGTAAATTCAAAATCGCATGCCACCCTTTCAATGTCTTAGAATATCTTTGTATGTATTTCATGCCACAATATTTTATTTATTATGCAATTATCAATGTTATTATATACTTTGTGTTTTGTTTACTATTTTAAATGTTCTTGTATCCAAACAACGAATTTCCATTTTATAATCTGTATTTTTTAATAGACGTGTCAATAAATGAATCTTAAATCTTAAGTCTTGAATATTTACAAAATATCTAATATCCTCTTATTCCTCCGCGAAACCTGAATTTAAGACACACGAGAATGTAAATCCACTAGTGCTTAAAAACACTTGTGCGGAAATTGCGAACACTCGCATGTTCTTTTCATAAATTACACGTCATTAAAGATGACAACGTATCACGCACTTGGATCCTACCCGTGCACACTTGGTCGTACATGTGTTTGTAACGATGCTCATGGACTTTTACACCAGTTGTACTAATCGACTGGATATCGTCTATATTGATGATTCGACTAAAGTCGTCACGCCCCATTAGCCAATACGTCTCCATCATTTGTTTTCCCTAAAACAACACAAATTCAACAACAGTGTTAAAAAAATAGGCTATACTGTACAAGAAATAATAAGGTATACAATGAATTACAATAATAAAAACATAATTAATAAATAACAAATAGTAATTAAGGTACTTAAGGTACAATACAATGTACTAATTAAGAGTTTAAAACATTTACTTAATACACTGAAAATGCAAAAAACCCCAAAACCAAAAATACTAATTCTATAATACCAGTTATTTACACGGGAACATTTATCAGTGATTGATGCTGTATTACAAAAGTTATGAACTGGAACAATAAACGAGAGCAGAGAAAACATGATCTAAATGGGCCTTCCCAATGTGGTAAGCAAACTACTGACCAATCAGAAAAGGGACAAGAATACGCGCTTGTCCCACGGACAAGGATAACCTCTTAGATTTCGGTGAATTAACAGAAATAATAAAAGAGGAACGAGGGCTAACAGCGCGTTTCCACGCCACTAGATTCAAAATAATTTATTCTCTTCCCCGGGCCCGAGAAAGGTAAGTTTCACTAAGCAGACAAGAGTGGATTCTTCCGATTTTAAGTTTTTAGGCTTGGGAATTCGATACTAAATTTTATATAACAGAACAAAACAAAGATACCTGGATCAACAAAAAAAAAAAAAGAAAGAAAGAAAAAGTGCACTTGAGGTGAATGTGGTCAACTGTTCATCCTTTGTTTTGTTTTTTTTTTGTTTTTGTTTTTGAAAACATAAATAACAATACTGCTCCTCTTTGTTTAGTGAAGCTCTCACTAAAAATAAAAACGTAAAGCTGGTGTTGATGAAAAGTTGAAAAGATTGAAAATCGGACATAACATTTGAGAGCAGCTTAGCTCAGTCGGCTAAACTGGTGGTAGCCACTATGTGTGGGCTGAGCCGTAGAGATCTCTAGGTCCGCCGGCTCGTTTCCCATCGCTGCTCTCCTTGTTGCTGAAATGCAAGTTAAACCGTCTTTCGGATGATACGTTTAAGCCGTTGGTCCCGTGTGCACGTTAAAGAACGCTGTACACTATTCGGAAAAAAGTGGGGATTGTCGCCCTGTGTACTGTTCAATCACCACCAGAAGGACCCCACTGGAAATAAGTTCTTGGTGTTTACACAGAATAAATCCAATCCAATCCATAACTGATGTTGTGCTGCACAGGTTAGACATAACATGAACCCTTAAAATAAATGCTTTTAGGTCTAAAAATCGAGCTGTTGCGATCTCCTATGCAATATGATACAAAATACACAATTTATTACTCGAAGAGCTGCATATTATTACCTTTATATTGATTCTACCACGTGACAGCATTGAAAATTTTCCAAATTCCGACAAAACTAGATAACAATCTCTGCTAATGTGAATATGATTTGCTATACATTTTATTGGAAAGAAAATAATATTTAACTTATATAATCAACATAATAATATATACATTGTAAACGGTAACGATTATAAATCTATGAGTGATAATGATAATGATAATAATAATAATAATACTGTAATAATAAATAGGCCTAATAATAATGTAAAGATATAAACTTTAGATCTTGCGCTGTATGATATATACATTATTATATTTTGGCATTATTTTATAACCGTAAGTATATACAGTATAATGTATATCAATATATTATATTGTAGTGTAAGTATAGAATTTATTATAGTACCAATATCATAACTATTATCTATTTTCCTATTACTACTAACTAACCCATTCCATTTGTTTGCATATGTGACGCAATGTTAACGGTATCGCCGAAAAGACCGTAACGCGGCATTTTCAGACCAACTACACCTGCCATAACCGGACCTATCGACATGAGTAAAGTGAAATTATTATTGTAATGTATATTCAATCAAACAATAATCATTCAGTCAGTCAGTCAGTCAATCAGTCAGTCAGTCAGTCAGTCAGTCAGTGAATAAACCAATTCATTATTTAATCCATCATCCAATTATTATTTAGGCCTAGTTCAGACTAGGTGGATAAACCCGGAAACTTTAGATCTTGCGCTGTATGATATATACATTATTATATTTTGGCATTATTTTATAACCGTAAGTATATACAGTATAATGTATATCAATATATTATATTGTAGTGTAAGTATAGAATTTATTATAGTACCAATATCATAACTATTATCTATTTTCCTATTACTACTAACTCACCCATTCCATTTGTTTGCATATGTGACGCAATGTTAACGGTATCGCCGAAAAGACCGTAACGCGGCATTTTCAGACCAACTACACCTGCCACAACCGGACCTATCGACATGAGTAAAGTGAAATTATTATTGTAATGTATATTCAATCAAACAATAATCATTCAGTCAGTCAGTCAGTCAGTCAGTGAATAAACCAATTCATTATTTAATCCATCATCCAATTATTATTTAGGCCTAGTTCAGACTAGGTGTATAAACCCGGCTCAACTCACCGGGTTTATCCACCTGCCAGTCTGAACTAGGTGGCTTATCTCAAGCCGGGCTGTGTTCCTATATAGTAACTAGGCCTGGCGAGCCACCGTGTTTAACTTTTCTAAGCCAGGCTTTAATCGTTGCGGGGGGTCTTGCATTGACTTCGGGTGACAAAATGACCAATCAGCATTCATTTATGTACGCTGTGAGCGAGGTACGTTTCGCGAGCAATGTTTTGAAACACGTTTCCTGGGTACAGTTCATGTCAGTTAATGGTTATTCAATCAATGAACCTATCCGCTAAGCCCCGCCCCTTGGATATTGTTGCTAAGATCCCACAAGACGACATGGCTTATGTTCTCACACGGCTGCTAACGGTTAGCAGGATCCGGATCCTGCTAACCGTTAGCTGCCTTGCGTCCATACGAAAAAATCCCGATCCAGACACCAAAAATAATTATGGCTACATTCAGACTTGGAGATAAGCCAAGCTTGAGTTAAGCCCGGCTCAACGTTGAGCCCGGCTTAACTTTGCCGGGCGTTCAGACTAGCGGGTTTAGCCAGGCGAGAATTTGCATAATAATGACCCGTAACCAGGAAACGTGTTCAAAACATTGCTCGCGAAAAGTACGTACGCTCGCTCACAGCGTGCGTAATTGAATGCTGATTGGTCATTTTGTTACCCGAAAGTCAATGCAAGACCCTCCGCAACGATTAAAGCCCGGCTTAGAAAAGTTAAGCCTGGTTCTCACGAGAGCCCTAGTATCCGGATCGAGAGCTAACCGTTAGCGTTAACCGTTACCACCTGCGTGAGAACGCCCGATCGGTTAACGCTAACCGTTAGCGGTATCCGGATACATCTAACGGTTAGCAAGCGCTATCGGGTAGCAAGTGAGCGCGTTATTATCATCAACCAATCACACGTACGCGTTTACAAATTCCAGTTTCTTATTGGCCAGTTCTTATTTCTTATTATTCCGTTCTCAACTTCAGAACAGCGTGTCATTTATCGCATGCGGACATGTCTTCACCATATATGCAGGCCTATGCCGTTCAATTCATCAAGCCTACTTGTACAACTATTGCACGCATATATAGGTTGCTAAGAAGAGAGAATGAAAATAAATACAGTAAGAATTTGTCAACGAGAAAAAAATTTAACAAACCGGTGTGTATTCCAATTCTTATACTGAATTTCCTGTTTGGATATGCAGGTACTGCGAGGGTATTGATGTGGTATAAGATATCGATAGCAGCAGTTGCTATCTCACTAGCATGTTTGAAGCCATTCCGATTAGGTAATCCTAAGTACAGAAAAAAACCCACCCAGATTACAGTTGTCTGTAAAACGATGAGTAATGTAAGTAAAACATGTACTAGACACTAGCAAGATATGTTAAATTATATGTTTTGACTACAACTCTCGTCATTCTTGGAGAATCTTACCTTTCTTAAAATACAGAATATGATTATTTCCATAAAATTCTTATTCATGAGACGGAGATACGTTTCTACATAACAAAAGAATATATATATATATATATATATATATATATATGTATATATATATAAATCATCAAAGAAAGGTAAATACAGTGTTCGAATAAGTGTAGCATAGCTCTCAACGAATGTAGTCCTGTAAATAAATGAATAAAGAAATTGTGTAATAAAATGCCTCTGGCGGGACTCGAACCTGCGACCTCTCGCTGTCAAGGCGAGTGTCATGTATATATATATATATATATATTTGATGAATTATGTCGAATTTTTATTACTTATTTGATAGGCATCGAGTTACTATAATATGACTTCATGTAGGCTATGCTTTCTAATGTTGAAATCAGCTTCCAAAACCAAAACATTTTGAATAAAGAAACAAAGAGTATGCGATGTAACCATCTAATTTATTTTCAAATCCTCATTCTTGAAAGTGAAATTCTTTATTTTGGAAATTTTGTATGAAATCTGTTAACCACGCTGTCATGGTCGAGGTTGCTTCACCTATCACGATGTATTCCAACCATCATGAGGCTATCTAAATGAGCATTTGTCATAACAGAACGCAAATTATTTTTAATTAGTCTCATTTAATTATTATTTATTATTATTATTATTATTATTATTATTATTATTGTTATTGTTATTGTTGTTGTGATGAAAAATTAACACAAACAGTATGGTGGCTAAACGAATATTACATGTAAATATTTTTTTTTGTATTTTTTTTGTTCCCCGACAAAATTTATCGTCTTCCCCGACGGGGGTGGGGCTATGTTTCCCCGAAGGGGGGGGGCTATAGCCCCAGCCCCCCCTCTGGCGCCACCACTGGGACAAACAAATTCCATTCTTAACAAATTTTACAAAATAAGAGCACAAAATAGAAGAATTAGCATTTTGACAGTTTTTAGTTCAGCTTCTCCTCCTCTAGTATAAGTTTCACAATCAATTGTGTTTTTCAGTGCATAAATAAAAGCCTTCCAGTAATTTATACTCGCAGGTATATTTAGTTCTGAAAGAATTTTGTTCTTGTATATCGTAAACAATGCAATGGTACACACTTCATTTATTATACCATTATCAACACCCAGCACAATGTCTTTATATCTAATGTGGTATTAAATATAATATTAATCATTTTATAAACATTTTTCCATAATTCACTAACAGTATAGCAGTCAAGGAACATTGTTTTTCATCCTCTCTTTGTCCACATTTTCTGAACAAGCCAACTTTTGTTATTTTCTTTTTATAAATTTTAACCTAAAACTGGACAAAATACTTGAATAATGTATACAAGTGAGGATAGACCAGTGTTTGTTTAATGTAGAAATATATAATTAATTCACATTTCATAATAAAGGTGTTCTCACCTGATGCCAGCATGTATGTTTCATTTATTGTTTCCACTTTGCATACGTCATATCTTTCGATTCTGGTGTCTATCATCATGTACAGCCCATTCAACATCTCAACAACCTGGATAACAAAAAGGAATTGAGATATTTTATAGATAATCACATTGATGGTTTGCCATTATCCACAATGATAGTAAAATGTGCGATTAGTTCTACATCCATGCGCTCATCATCCACGTTCTAAATCTGCACATACTATTTACGGTAAATTCAACAAGCCGACTCACTTGTAATGGTGCACTTATTGAACATAACTTGTTGAACCCCACTAAATCTGAAAAAAGAACTGTGACCAAGTCAAAGTACTCTGCTTTCACATCCTTCCTGTACATCAGCTGCTCAGCAACAGATTTTGGAAGCATGGAGTACAGTAACCAATTGGAACGCTCTTTTTCTTCGTTCAATTTCTTGGTCTGGGCTGCCAAAGTTAATGCATAGGTCTGAATATCTGTTGTCATCTTTGAAATAGCTCTAAGCGTCAAAGGACAAAGAATAGTAACTGCAACTACTAGAGAGACGCTTACAGCCATCGACTCAGTATCTTTGTCTATTTCGTGGTTCAATCGATCAAGAATGTCCTGAGCCATGTTTTTTTGCACCTTTTCCCGTATGTTGATATAAATTGTCATTATATCAAACCAACGTGTTACAGAAATTCCACTCGTTTTTCCAGTCTTATTGTTATTATTTTTCAAAATAATATTTCGTAACTCGTCGACTGTTTGTGTTATATTCTGATCTAATATTTCAATTTCAGCTTTGTAGAGGTGAGCAATGCGTTCTGAGTAACCCATTGATGCTTGGAAATACCATGTTCCAACGTTGTATTTATCAAGATACCACACGTAGTCACTGCGTTTATCGAAAATGCCCTGAGCAAAGAAAACAGTGCCAAGTGTTCGCTCGATGCCAGTATCAACATTGCTGACTACGAGCAGCTGATAAGCAACAAGAGTGGTCCACATGCCATGTCCTTTTGAGTTTCCAACGCTCTCGTATAGCCAGTCTATAAAGATCTGTAGGAGTTCCGTGTAGAAATAGATTTCCTCGTAGATCGTGGTGTTGGTGGATGACAGAGTCTCTCGATGCCACGCAAGGTGCTGCTTCAGATCTTGTTTCTCGTTGAAAAACGGCAAAGCTTCGAGTACGCTTGTCTTAATGGGCCACTTTTCAAGATTTTCAAGAGCTGTATCAGTAAGCGGGTACGTTTCTGTCAGAAAGTCGTTGTCTTCGGGCCGGATAGGGCTAGCGAACAGTGCCGACATATCCCGTTCTTTCTGCAGCCGACTCAGTAGCACCCCAATGTCACGGCTGAATATGATTGCGTTACGCACTTCCCCATCAATACTGCTATTGTTAACAATGTTGCCGATATCCAAAGCAGCTAGCAATGTAAGTGAAAGAATCGGAATTAGAGATAACAAGAACATTTTAACAAGCTGTATTCGTTTATCCTTCTCTGTCAAAATATTGCCCTTACAGCAGGCAACCGAATTTCGGCCACAAAGCTGGTTACTAATAGACACCGGAATTTGCGGAGAACCGAACAATGGCTGCTCATTGACAATTCCCGGCTCGCCGTTCTCAAAATCGAATGAGCTAATCGTATTCATCCCGATAATCTTCGGCCCAATAACAAAAGACTTGATAAACTCTAAAAATAACTAAAAAACAATTATATAGTTGCCCACTGCAAGTCAGTTCAGACTCTAACTTAAGACGTGGTGGGAAAGGACCTTATATACTAAGGTATCGGTGATCGCACTATAAAAGCGACCAATCATTTAAAGAACACTGTCACTATGCTCTCTATTTATTTTCGAACAAATTTTATGATTGATACGGCTTTCGTACGTTCACAAAAGAGACCCTTATAGTTTCACGATGATCATTCATGATTATATAATTTTGTCCATGCTTGTGTTAGTAATGTATCACAGCACTCTTTAATAAACGTTAGTTCAGTATTTATTCTTAGTTTTAAATAGATTCCGTTTTGTTAGCCAACTGGTATTATCATACATTTTACTGTGTATTCCTATTTATATAGTATTGTTCTAGGCTTAGATACCATTAGCGCATTTGGAACAAACTGCCAATTAATATCCGAATATGTTACTTTTTAGAAACTTTTAACAAACAATTGAAAACGTTCCTGTATGCCTCATGTTTCCTCGGACTTACTTGTTATATATTTATTTTTTTCATCAGCGCTACGATCTTGATGTGTCTGCGCTACATGAATACACAGCATGTATGTATCATTATTATTTTTATTCTTATCCTTATCCAATAGTAAAATTGTGGAGAAGCTAAGTACTAGAAAAAAATCAAAATGTTTTTGAGAAATAAATATGTTGTTGAAGTTGAATAAATATATTATATAAACACATTTCTTCTCCGGAATGCTTCAATTCCTTAAACATGAACTCTCCGCCTCCCATTTTGACTTATGTATTTTTTTTCATCTTTATGCATGCCTTTTTTCATTCGCCTCAGTTCGCCTAATTACCATAAATTCTCATTGCATTTGTTCACTCATATAATAGTCCAGTAGGAAACGGGGGTGGGGAATATTACCACTCGACGAGAGACAAATTTTCATCCAACTTTTCTAGACCAATTTTTTGTGTAGATTCCAAAAATGGAGGGTGATCAGCCAAGCGGCAAAATTAAAAAATTATACCAATTTACGTGAATAACCAATTATGAAGCCTAAAACATTATGTTTGATCACTTTGGTATCCTCTTAGATATCCAATTGTCATTAAATAAATAAATCAAATGATTTTATCTGGTAATTTTGAGACAAAGGTCAAATTTGACCAATTATCTGGATAAATATAGCAACTTAACAATAACAAATCAAGAAGCTACAATCATTGTGTATATAACTTTTTGTGATTTTTGTACACAATCATCGTAAAAAACCCAAATAAAACAATTTCGTCCGCGATATTAAGGTAAAAGTTCAAAATTGATCAATAGAAAAAGCTTACAATAATCAATAACCAATCATGAAGGAATTTTTGTTTCTGCTTTCTTAAGTTTTAAATGTTAATATCAAATCTAGGGTTTTATCACTTTATGTACTTATAAGATATATAATTTTAATAAATTCAATATGATTTGAGCAACCGATATTAAGGAGAAAGGTCAAATGTAAAATTTTGACCAATTATAACAATTCATTACAATAAACAATTAGGAAATTGAAAACTCAGTGTTTTATTACTTGATTGTGTCTTTAGATATCTATGTATTTGTTATAAAATATGCAAATAAATAACTTAATTAATTAGTTAATTAATTTGATCAGCAGAAATCAAGGCAAAGGTCAAAATAATTAATCATAACGATTTTTTATAATATCCAAATATGGAAGCTATATTTAGTGTTATTTTACATAAAATATATTTTTCTGTTTTTTTGTTGTTGTTATAAATGAGGTAAGTTAAGAATCCTTGTAACCTTGTTTATTAATTTATAAGATAAAATTTATAGATTTGATTTAAATTCTAAATTCTTTTCATGTTTTTTGTCCTATAAGTTATGAGTACTCAAGTTGTTGACATGGATCCTAGGCTTACTGGAGTGTACAAAGTGTCGGGCAGATTCTTAGTAGGTACCGCAGTGGTAAGCTACCGAAAGCATTCACGATTGTTCCAAGTTTACAGGCATGGGAACAGGTAAAATTTAATGTTATAATATTGAGGTGATTGATGAAGAAGATGATGGGGCTGTTTTGTGATGATGAGAACGGGTGTGTTGGTGATGGAATTGATGGGAATGATGATGGTGCTTGTTGAAATGATGATGATAAAGATGGTGGCACTGGTAGTGATGATGAACATAATTATAATAATGATGGTAGTAACAATGGTAATTATGATGTGCATGCTTTATCCATCCTTTGGGGTAGACAGATATGGATAGGCATTCCAATTAAAGGAGGTTTCTTATTTTAAATGATTAATTCTGTTTTTAATGAACAGGGAAATTATCATTGCACAGCATTGTAGACAAATGAAAATAAAATCTCTATAAATCAGTATATAGTAAAACAAAATTAGGCTTCAAATATGTCATACTATATTATTATGGGTAGATATACATACGTTTAAAAAATAAATAGAGTGCACCATCCATTTCGAGACCCCTCTAATTCCGAGACCCCTCTAATTTGAGACCACTTTTTCAAAGAACCAATTAACAATGTTCAATCTTTTAACACAAAGCTAGCTCTCTAAGTGGAGACCGAACCCCAAGACCAACCCAAATTTTCACGTCCCAAAGTGGTCTCGAATTAGAGGGCGTACTGAGTGCACCTTCCAATTCGAGACCCCTCTAAATCCGAGACCCCTTTAATTCAAGACCACTTTTCCAAAGACCCAAATAACAATCTTCAACAGTTTAGCACACAAAGCTAGCCCTCTAATTGGAGACCAACCTCGAGACCACTCCAAATTTTCACGTCCTGAAGGATATCGCGAATTGGAGGGCGAACTGTATGAGTAATTTTTATTAAATCACAAGGGTTTATCTTCGTAAATTTCAAGTTTTGTATTTGACTGAACCTGAGAAATGGACAGCTGCTGCTATGTACCAAGCTACTAGAATATTTGCCAGTAACTTAAATACAAAGATGGCACAAAGGTCAGAAATGGTTTACCACTTACATACTTTATGCATTCTGTAAAAATGCAAATGTTCCTGTGTTTATGATGGTCACAAACTATACCTGATGTACTGTACTACATATTTTGGCCAGGATATATTTTTTGTGTTACTCCAAACCTAAGTCAAAATGGTAGCATTAAATTCCTATCGGCTCACTCAACCAGAGTGCATTTAATATTCATAAAATTATTCTTATAACTGGAAATTTGTTACGTGCACTAACGGCCCTGAAAGTGAAGGGTCGATTATAGTGATATCTCGCAAACATACCCAGATAATTATAAAGAATGAGTTTTATTTTTCTCACACATTAATCAAGTATGTTTCTGTAGCTTTTAGGATAAAAACATAGTTTTGCCAAGAAAAAAATTGAAAGGCGAACCTAGATTGTGGATCGGTGAGACATGGGCAATACAATCTCATTTCTCCTGACCTTAACATTGTTAATAATTATTTTGTATGATTATTCACAAAATTAACCTTTTGTTGTCCTGAATAATGTCATTAGTAATTGAGGACAAAAGATTTAGTACTATTTTAAGCAGAAGCCATGGCATGCAACCTTAAAGTAATATTTTATGTGCTTCTTGTCATTTCCTCCATTTTTGATCAGGTTTTTTAACTTGGTGCTGCTTCCACTTGCTCGAGATGATATTGCAGAGTACAAGAGATTACAAGAAATTTTCATCTTTACATGGTACTATATTTTCTATAATTATTTCTTATATGTTTACGCACATCGATACACTTACTATAAATTTGTTTTAGAGATTTTGAAACAATATGAGATAAAGTACATTGAAATTTAGCATGAGAAGTATGGACTCTGTGAGTTCTACAGTAGGCTAGACCTATCTAGCATAGGTTAGCCCGCTGGGATAGCTGACTCAACCCAATTCCATGCTCAAGGCAGCAGGCTTATACATAAAGTACTACTAAAAAATCAGGTTGTTTCACCCACTGCTGTGTGAAGCCCTCTTCCAGCATTATCCATCTTTTTCTGTCCATTGCCGCTGTTGCAAGTTTGTTGTTCCAGTGTATGTGTAATACTGTATTTATTTCAGTATATTATAAATGTTTAAAAAAAAATTTCACAGTATTTAACACACAAATTAGATTTCATTTAAAATGTACATATCAGTTTGTATGCTATAGAGTACATGTATTATTGCACAACATTAGCAATGTTAGGTCACGTCTTAATATCTGATATTCACATATTTAGCATAGACTAGCGTCATAGGAAATAAATTGTGGCAGTGTTATTGAAAATACAAGAAAAGGTTTGACCTTTGTCTAGCATAGTGATTTATTTTTTCGGAACTGAAATTTTTTATTTAGTCATCGCTTGTCAAAACGAGTATCATTAATTTCGAAAAAAACAATCAAATATTTTTCAGTTGTATTGAGCACTTCAATAATTTTATTGCGTTCTTTGTATTTAATGACTTATAATTAATAGTATTCCTACATGGAGGCTAGTAATCAATTTAAGTATTTTTTCAGTGCACAATTTAATTGTTTCGTTCAGTTTCTTGTTGGAAGGGATATATAATTTGATCATTAAAAGGAGAAACTTAATTTTGTTACTTTTTGAGGGTTATTTAATGTATATCTATTCTGAGATGAAGAATATGGCAGTTGTTTTGCCTAATGCTGTGTGTTAGTCTAAAATGTAAAACAGAGCACCTATAAATGTACCGGTATGGAGTTTCGTAGAATTTACTAGTCTTTTCATTTCCTTAATGTTTTTTTCTTTTGTAGGCTTTGAAGAAATCTCTGTTTAAGCCTGCTGCATTTTTCAAAGGAATTCTTTTACCATTGTGTGAGGTAAGGACCATGTTGGTAGCATTGTTGCTGTCTAAAAAAGTGTTGTGCTATTTGATGCAGATACTGATAATTTTTATGCAGACATCTTCCACTGATGCATATTTGCAAATTGTGAACAGGAACACCATCTATTTATAGTTAAAATTAAAAATATTGGTTGTCATTTGAATTGTCTACAATGATGTTTTAATAATATGACTGCAACACATGCAAGCAGTGTTATTGCAACCATTTTTTGCCCTCTAATTTTGTATGCATAATTGTAAATAGGAGACTTTATACATGTCTTCTTCAACACATTTCAACTTTATTCATAACAATCCCAGCACCATGTATTCTGGCCCGAGTGCCCTCTACAGTATGTGTTCTAGTATACATTTAGAATAACCACTGTTTGTTATTTACCTTGGACGTCTACTTGATGTCCCAGATTTCAAGATTTATTTATTGCAATGACCATAATCTTTAACATTTTCATTGAGATTATTACATAATACCATACCAGTGACCAAGGAAAGGCGCTATATAAATGACCAGATTACATTTCTGGCTGTTTACTTGCGTTTACTTTGTTTTTCATTCTGTCTGTGTTTTTTTTTTTTACATGCTAGTGTGGGACATGTACGCTGAGGGAAGCGACCATCATAGGAAGCATCGTAA